TCCGGGATGAACGTAAACAAACCTGAGCGCCCAAAATGGACCCGCGACAGGTTTTAATGACGGTGGAGACGTTACTGCACTCCCTGACTGAGCTACAGGTAATACAGATCATTTTGAGCTCTTTTAAAGTTTCTAGTAGAAATGTTGTCGCTCACTGACCAGTTTTGCTTCTCTGACATGCTAATATTATTAGCATCTAGTCAGGCAGAAATACGTCTGCTAGACACGGGTTGCACATGCACAGTCAATTCTTTTCCACAATCGGAAAAAAATAGTGTTTACATGCACACCGTTCAGATTATGAATCAGCATAAACCACCCGTCTTATTCTGATTACAAATTATTTTGGATTGAACTGAATCCACAAAGAATAATCCGAATGGGGCGTTTACATGACACATTTTTATTCCAAATGGCCGTTTAATCCTATTACTTATGTCCATGTAAACAGATTTACATGTGCATAGCTTTACAACTTGTACTCATAAAAACACCGATACTTCGGACTGATACCACTTTGTTTTGTAACGTCATTTCCTGATTCACTTTGCAAGCAACCCAAACCAAAAAAAAGTCTTGTTTATAGAGATGTTTAAAGATAACCACAGGTGATGTTAGGACAACAGACTGGTCGCTGCATTCTGACTAAAACAAATGTGTTTTTTAAAATCATTGATGTTCAAGTACTAACTCATTAACTACTCATGTGTCAGCAAACTTAAGTACAGTACTTGTACTTTGACTTGGTCTGAAACAACAACAACAACAACAACAACAACAACAACAACAACAACAACAACAACAACAACAACAACAACAACAACAACAACAACAACAACAACAACAACAAGTATTGGGACACCTCTAATTTATTCTGACCAACAGCTAATCTGAGCCACTGCTAAACCACAGCAGGCCTGCAGTCTTAAATTAACACCCATCTCAGCAGTAGCTAGCACTTTCTGTGCAGACTGTGGCACAGTTGGAAAAAAAAGGCATATTAATACTTTTGCAGAAAAAACTGTAATGCAAAATTGACAAGTGTAAAGCAGTAAAAAGGTGTCAATCCTGATCCTTACAGGCCACTGCTCTGCATGTTTTACCTGTTTCCCTACTCCAACACACCTGATCCAATGTTTGAATTACCTCTTTTTGTTCTGCAGGAGCCTGTTAGTCTCCTCTTGATTCAAATCAGATGAGTTGGAACAAAAAACCACCTAAAACATCCCGTCCTGGTCCTGCGTGTTTTAACCGTTTTAAATGCAGAGCAGTTCATGCTCTTTTTAAAAAACCTTTACTCTGAATCTTTTCAGACTGGAGTCATTCCAGAAGAATGCTGCCCACTCTGATCTTGTTTTAACTGTTAAGCTGATTGGTAACTCTAAATTGCAACCAGTCCAGGGTGTGCCAGGCCTCTCGCACAGTGATGACTGGACACAGGCACCAGTGACCCCTGCGACCCAAAAAGGAAGAAGCAGGTAAAAATAATGGATGGATGGATTTTTAAAACAATTTCACTAGAAACGATCTGAGCTAGATGGACCAACTATAACTCCTTGTTCCAGATGCCTGTTTTTGTCCCTAATATGGGTCTGTGAGAAGCTAAACGAGCTCATCTTCAGGTCTGAGTAAATACCATCGACAGGAAGAACCTCCTCAGAGCGGAGCTCAGTCCACCGGGTCCAGACGAGACAGCAGAATCTGACACGTATTTGTTTCACATCATCTCTCATGTTGCGCTGTCACACTGAAGCGGGCCAGCTTTGTGTCCCAACCGGCTCAAACCTTGGAACAAATCTGACTGGACCAAACCGAGCTGAATTTGTTGACACTTCAGCTCACTTGGTCCGATTGACTGGAGCTCATCAGTGCAAACACGACTGAGCTCCGATTCAGTCATGATTCTCCAACATCCTAAAACTCAGCTGGATTCATCCTTTGTAGCGTTCAGCCTGAAGTTAAGACAAACTTAAATCCAAGACGTTATGTTGTGAATAAAGCCTGGTGTAAGATAAAGAATCTGTTTTTGATAAATATTTAATATCCCTACATTATTAAATCACCAGAAGTGTGCAGCCTCCAAAGCTAAAAGACTGAGGCAGCGAGAGGAACGAGACAGAAAAACTGATGATGAAACTCGAGTGTAAGACCCGTTGTTTTATTCGTGCAAGAGTCGGTTTCTTCATGTTGAACATCTTAACTTCTCTAGTTAGCAAAGTGTGTTCTTTGTAGATTACAATGGTGTGGATTTATTGTAATTTGTAACAAAATATTCCCAGGTCTAATAACCTCCCTGACCACAGATAAAGATATAAATACAACACTTTTGTATTTGTAGATTATTCACTTGCTCTAATGGCAAATATCCTGTTATATTCTGTATATGTACCAAAGCTGTTACTGTATATATTGTCCTAGTTCAGTCTGAACTGTCCTAACATCTAAATTGCAGAGGTTAAACACCCTGAAGAACATGTGTCAAACTCAAGGCCCAAGGGCCAAATATGGCCCTTGTTAACATCTTATCCGAACACCAAGATGATATTTTAAAAGTAAAAAATTTATTGCTTCTCATTTACCTAAAAACCTGAGCATTCTTTATTTAATGCAAACTTCTCAGGACAGTTTGCTAACTTTGAAGCCAAAAAATTATGTTTGAAATTGTCCATAATCTTAGATTTTGATGCAAAAAGAGCAACAGAGAACATCAAATAAGGCCGATGAAACTTTTGTTGAGGAAGCTTCAACCAAGAAAAGATGTCCGGTAAATGACGTAATGACTGCATTTGGCCCTTTGTTTGAAACAAGTTTTTAATTTTGGCTCCATTTTATAACAGAGTTTGAAACCCCAGTTTTCAGGGATCTGGTATGTCAAGAATGGGCACCAGAGGCATCGATAATGGCGTCATGAACAGAGCATCCAACAGTCAGGTAAAACTGAGCGAAGGCCAACAGATCCAGAGGATGCCTCACAGACAGCATCATAACACTTGACAAAGTTATAGAAGGGTCACATTGTTGGTTTTTGACAAAGCTGGGTGGGTGTCACAGTGCTGGAACCAGTGGGGTACCCGTACTTGTGGAGATAGTTCCAGTTGCCTAAGACGAACCTTACCAATGGAGGATCATTGTATTGTGCATCAAGTTGGTGCACAATACTTGGTGGCTTGAAATTGTTGTCCTGACACAGATTATAGGACCCCCCTAAACCACATGCCTTTCCACAGTGTCCAGATGACTGGTGCTAGTGCAGTCACAGGCAAAGGCTGCCATTAACAGCAGAGCAGAGCTACTGTGGCAGATACTGTAACAGGAAGTGTAAACTAATGACTTTCATGTTCAGCAATGAATCAATCCCAGATCTACTTCACCACAGATGACAATGGCTTGTTGGACCCAAAGGGAGCAGACCAATCCTATCAATGTTGTTGAGATGGTGTAGAGTCATGAAGTCTGACTTAAGGTCACCTCTGGTTGTGATTCAGGGTGACCTGATGGTACAGCTCGGTAACAGTGATACCATGTGTCTGTAATGTCTGCAAGTCTTATCCCACCTGAGAGAGCCAAGGGTCTCTGAGTTTCCCCTCATTTTTCCCCAAGTAAATCCTGAAATTCCAGGAGATATTTCAGTTCCACGAAATGCTCAGAACTTTGTTTCAGGTGGCGGCAGTCCCATTCAGAGATGACAGGAAGTGCAGACGACACGGTACGTGTAGACGACAATCATTCCCAAGGTATTTTATAAATTGTCTAACATCAGAAACTAAAAAGCCACCATAACCAATTAGTAAGGATGCATGTACTCTGTAGAAGCAGCTCGTGGACTCAATGATACTAAAAGTTATTATTATAAAAGACTAGCACACATGTACAAGTTAAAAATGTTTTAATCAGCAGATCAGTGTTCAGACTCCGAGTTTTAACGGTCTGAAAAATGTGAGACATTTTCCAGGTTTTTCATGATTTCCAGAGTCGCAGCGAACCCTGACAGCAACCTGGTAGACCTTAAACAAGACGACGCTCGTCCGAACAAGATATCCTGTATGTGTCTCTGAACTGCCTGCATCAGGTTTAGGTCCTCCAGTGGACAGCCAGGTCCCGCTCAGATGAGTGGTATCAGCTCGAACATGGACTCTGACCCAGTGACGATCTACCCAACCTCGAGGGCCATTTACAGCAGTTGTGGGATGACTTGCTACATTGAGGACGACTGTTCAGCATTTGAATTGAATAATTCAATTGAATAGCATTGAATCCAGGACCGCCCATGTCCAATGATCCCACATCAGTCAGGACCAGCAACGTGCCCAGACTCTGACGATAGGACAGTCACATGACCTCTGAACATGAAGTTTGGTTGATTTCTATCACTTCCTCTGGGTGCATAACTTTGTTTTTTATCAGTGTGTCTTTGTATTTGTTACTTTGTAAGGCTCATTTTTCCAACTTATACTACATTGTGAGGACCAACTGCTCCTTATTGGGCCTAAAGCCAGGGTCTCATAAGAAGTGCCGTCGGTGGGTTAGGGGTTAGGTTTAGGACTAAGGTGTAAATTGAGGATGTGTTAGGGTTAGGTATGTACTGGTAATGGTTAGGTTTAGGGTAAGGGTCAGGGTTAGGCTATAGAAATTAATGAAAGTCAATACAAAGTCCCTGTAAAGATAGAAAGACAAACTTGTGTGTGTGAGTGTGTGTAATGTTTGCTTCTGCACACAGATCTCCACCAACAGGATGTTTCTTTATGAACCTGTTTAAAAAAATAGCACATGAGGCAGGTGTGTACAAAGTATATAATCAAGTGTATTTTCATCTTTATCCACGTTCTGTACACATAATAAGATCCATTTCACATGAACACTATACAATAGTAATGAGTGAGGAATGGAGTATTTTCCGAGCGCGGAGCAGCTCACATTGAATGGCACTTTCATAAAAAAAAAGAAAGTTGACAGGAAATCACAGAGCATGAATAAATAACTAAAACCGAAAGAATGGCTTTATATCATCAGATCCAGCACATCGAAAATGCGCAACAGAAAAATAAAACATTGATTTGTTTCATCCGTGTGTACTTTTTCGCTGCATAAACTGAGTCGTTAAATAATTTAAAAACATTTGATGGTTGCAGCTATTTGAGGAAAGTGTGCTTTCAAAGTCCAGATTAACGCAGAAAGCAACCTAAAACGTGATGTGTTCAGAAGAGTGGCAACAAGATACATCAATACCAGAGAAATATCATTACAATTCACAAATTCTGTAATTATTCATCCAATAGAATAGTCTTTTGGTAACTTATATATATAAAAAAAAAAAAAACAATACATGTTTGGCTGCTTTACAAGGAATATCTTCCCCTCTGAGATATGCCTCCATTTTGTGTTAGCCTTTGGAGACAGTTTAGCAGAAAAGAAAAGAAAAGACTGTGAGGGAAGCAGCTTCAGAAAATCTTCAAATGTGCTTCTCAAAGCTCCTCAGACTAAATCGGTTTAGATGCTGGCATGAGAAAACGTTGGGATGCTTATTTCTTTTTCACATCTTTAAGGATGCTGTCGATCTGCTAACCTTTCTATGTACAGTACATACAAGTTGTGTTTATAGAGGAGCGAAACCCTTCGGCTGTGTTCACTGGCTCACTCGGTCACAATTATCCCTACTTGTAATAGCAGACCGACTGCATTATCTCTCACACATCACATTTCGGATTTGTCAAATGGAAAAGATTCACTGACCACACTACGGGAGCGATGTTATCACCACTTTCAGCTTGCTGTAATTATAAAAATCTCATGTCCTTTACAGCAGCAGAACAAGATCATTTCTTTTGGACGTACACACACTGTTTGGGGGTAGATTCAAAGTCACGTAACGTAAAATGTGGAGGCTGCAGATGTTAAGTCTTCTCCAAGTGAAGGCTTTCTGTCTGAGTGTGCTCAGGATGAGTGCCGGGGCAGCGCGCAGCTCATCTACCAGAAAAATTCAATAACTGGCCGGTTCTGCCTCGTGGACCATAATGGGGACATTGAGACTCGGGATTACAAAGAAGTCCAAAGAAACTGGATGTTCTCAGCACTCTCCTCACATTTCCATGCTATATACAAAGCCAAAGTGTATGTTTCCCTTTGCTTGCTAGTGAAAAACATCAAATGAACTCATACACTAACAGAACTGGTGGCTGCAGACGGAGAGCCCGTTCTGACACAGAGGATGAGTCCCATCTCGTGTCACAGAGAAGAATTTATCACCACTGGGAGCTGGTCAACCTTAAATTATGTAAAAGTAATACATGTTTGCTTTGTGCAGTTGCTTCCTTGTGACTTTTCTCATCTTCCTGACGAATTCAGGCAGAAAACCCAAAGCGTCCTCCGCCCTGTCTCAGTCCCTGTCTGCCGTCTCAAACGTAGTACTCCTTGTCTTTGTTCTTTTTGCCTTTTGTGATGGCCTTGGCCACAGAGGCAGTTGCTGTGCTTTTGTCTTTGACCACTGCTCCGTTGCCCTCTGCAGTGGAGTTGTTGGCGAAGCCGTGGCTCTGGTCGGCCGGGTACGAGCCCTCATCCCGGTTCCGGTACTTGTACATGGCATAGAGGAGGATGAGGATGCAGAGAGCAGCAGCTGCCACGATGCCCACCACCATCCCCGTGGTGCTGCTGGACTCCCGGATCACCTCCACGGCGCCAGGCTGGCTCTTTTCGTCCGAGGTGGTGGGGTTGGCTGTGGGCACATGGGGAAAATTGGGGGGGTACGTTAGTCCCGGGGTGTTTCGGGAGGATGGAGGAGCAGGGGGCAGGAGCACCTGGTCGCGGTTGTGCTTTTTGCCTGCAGGAATGTGTAGCTGGTCAGGGTTGGTGGTGGGAACAAAAGGAGGTAGGGGGCGGGGTTTATGGACTCCACCGTCACCGGCGGCGGGAGGCGGAGGAAGGACCGTCCTGTCAGTGACCACAGGGGAGTTTTTACTGTAAAAGTCCTCGTCGTCAGATTCCGTCATCTCTCCCGAGCCGAAGGCCGAGACTTCCACAAGGTCACCGCAGTCCTCCTGGTCCGGAGGGCAGGAAGGGTGGGGAGGGAGGATCAAGGACTCTTTGGTGGTCTCAAGAGGGGAGAGGAGGGTGGGAGGAGGAGGGATAACGGGGTAACGGGTGGCTATGGATGGGGGCTCAAGGGAATCCACTGTTATAATAGGCAACACTAATTCACCTCCTAGAAAGGAAACAGAAGAGGTGGGGGGCTAAATTAGAACTCAGAACTGACGTGGAGGCTTAATCTGCTCATGATGTCAAACACAACTCATACTGACGGGGTCGTCAGTGACGTCATCATTTCTTACATGTGTGGGTGTCCAACACAGAAACATAAAGAGCTTACAATCAGACACACACACACACACACACACACACACACACAAAGAGAGGCTGCAGACGCACACAAAAGATAAAAACAGGTCTGTAAATTAAAAGAGCACAAAGTGCGGAGCTGCTGAAAGCACATCTGTGGGCAGACGTTCAGGGAGAGAGCAGACAGGTTAGTGTTCGAAGGATTCACACACACATATCAGGACAAACGTCAGGACGGCCTCCGTCTTTAAACACCACCACAATCTAAACCTCAAACCAGGATTCTTCACACGTAAACCTTCAGAGACGCCAGGGCGGGGACTGTGCAAATGTTTTAAACCACCCTTCCTTCCTTTAGATGTTTCCATGATTATAGACACTCCTGTAATCCTTTAGAGTTGTCCCGATCAACAGTTTTCAGACGTACTGAAGGTCTTCTTCAGGACTTCATTAGTTTTTTAACTAATTCTCTGTCCGGTTTCTGTACATGACCATGACTGTACATTATTTAAACATGCACTAAAAATGAACAACAAGCAGCAAACCAACGTCCCCTGTCCCTGAAGGGTTTGAACAGTGAATGTTTGTAGTTTGGAAGATGGACTTGAATTGAACAGGGATTTGCAAGTAAACCTAAATGTTCTTGGTGCAAGATATTCAAGTGGGGAGAAGTTACCCTGTTTTGTTTTTTCTTGTCTCAGGCAGCACAGAGGGACGGATCCTGGAGAGTGGAGGGAGACATTTAATCCACCATCAGGTGCAATGGAGGAGCCAGAGGGTGACCAACGGTGGCCTTGGCCCCCATAGATTAATCTTTGGCCACCCCAATCATTTGAGGAAACTTATTTTAAGCAATATAAAAACTAGAAAGTGATTTCCTGAAATTATAGGGGTGGTTGGTTGACATATAAATATATATGGTGGTGGCCATTTTGGATTTTGACGTGGCAACCCAATTGTCGATGGTGACCATTCTTACATGTAGATATAGCCACACACCAGAATGGAAGTCAACGCCTCACCTATTGTTCAAGTTATCATACTCATAACGTGCAAGGTTGGAGGTTTTTTTTTGCCATTCCCCCCTTTGCTCCCTGACAGGGGACAAAATCAGTGTTTGGCCTCAAAGACGTGGCCTGAGAGATGCATCATTATTCAACTGACCACCAACACTTCAGAAAAAACACTTTAAGAATCACCGTTTAATGTTATGTCTGTTAAGCACTGTTAATATTATTACTTTTGTATAAATTCAGCCTAAGAAAAGTGAATAAAGTGTGTTTTTGGGACATGCTGCTTGTAACAGAATGCCTTTAATGTCCAACAATTAATTAGGTCCTTACAAAATTTTCTGTAATGGCACAACTCTGGTCCATGTCTGGAGTTTAGGGAGCTTTTTATATTTGGACGATTCATCGGTCAACATCAAGAGGCTTAACAATAAATAAGCAAAGAAATAAAAAAGGATCTCTGAAAATGGTCATGCACTGGACAGAAAATGAGTGAAGAAAGCAGCCGAAGTCTACAGAAAAACTAAAATAAATAAATAAATGGATAAAACCAACAGGAAACCTGAAAAAAAAAGATCAAAACCACTTTAAAATATTACAAATACATCTGCCTGTTTATAATGAAAAATCAAAGACTTTAAGGATCATTTCAAACTTTGCACATCCTCAAAGAGCCTGGCAGGATTTTGACAGGTTTACTTAAAGCAGAGCCTCAGTGCTGCATTCTTTCTTTTATGTTCTCATGTTACATATTGGACTCAGAGCTCAGACTGCCCTCTGGTTGTGGAGGAGTTGAACATATTTATAGCTGCTTTCATCTTTATTTCAGTCACACATGGCAGGTCGGCTCCCAACAAACAGCTCTGATAAGGTCACAGATTTAACGGAGGCTCTCGTGATAAGGTCAGCCTCATTCTTAAGTTCCTGAGCTTGTTTCTGTCACAGATCTGATCTACTGTCAGCCTGACTCGACGCCTGCAGCCCCATCTGAGAGTTTTCCTTCAGTCGGTGGGGTTTACACGTGCACACGGTGGAAGAAGCTGTAACAATTACTTGATCAAACGGCCATGTTTTATTCCCTTGAAGGTAACCCACCTGTGCCTGGTTCACACTCCTCCAGATCCTCGTCATCACTTGGACACTCAGCTGATGCCACCAAAATATCATCAGAGCTCTGAGGCTGAAAAAAAAACAAAAAAACAACAACATTGAAAACGATCACAGTGGCTGATTTTAGTTTCCCCCATCAAATGAATTAACACGTTTTCATCATCTGGGTGCACAGAATTGTTTTTAGAAGCACGTTTTCTTGCTGACTGTTCTATTTAAGGATAATCTGCAGAGCGCAGCACTGTCGTGTTGCTCGAAGCCACTCTGGTAAAAACGGCACGTTCAAAATGAGCACGTCTGCAGCTGCTTTTCATCCTTTCACCCCAACGACCGTGTGCAAACAACACATAAACAATACTGATATATCATCTGCAGGCTAAATGTCATTTACATGCTTTAATTTCCTTCTAGATTTATTGTTTTACCAGGATTTATGATACATTTGTGCAAAAACATGACTAAGTTAAGGAGACGCAGTGAAGTGCAGTATGGATGTCCTTATGCATGCTCGGTAATCCAGGTAGATAAATCTAATGAGGTTGAGTCTGGTCCTCTGGACTAGTACCAAGTACATATATATATAAGTATAAGTTGCATCTTTTTGCATAAATTTGCAAGTCCTGTGACTTATACACCAAAGCGACTAATACACGTGTTTTCCCCACCCATATTTATAACCCAACTTTTGTCTGAGATCTGACGATTTTGTTCATTCTGTAATGGAAAATATTGAACTCTACCATTATTAGCTGCTAGAGGGCCCTTGAGTTATATGGCAAGCCAAGTGTCTCATTATTCATTCAACCTTTATTTAAACTGATAAATCACATTGAGCCTCGAAGACTCATTTACAAGTGAGACCTGTTTGGACAGACAAAAAACATTATTAGGTAAACGTGGCTATTAATGAGACACTTGGCTTGCCATACTAAGCCACCTTTGTATTACTCCGGAACTCCTGGAGCAAACGCCAAATCAGCAGCATTTCACTGCCCCGCCCAGGAGAAATGCAGCTGATTTGACCATTAAAGTTAATTTATTAAGGAAAAATTAAACTGACACACACCTTTACTATAATGTCGAGCAAACAAATAATTGTTTTTAAGTGCTAATCTTGTTAAATTCTTGTTAAAGTCCTTCCGTGAACGCTCCCGTGGCTGCCATTTGGCAGCCAATCGGTTTTTGGCACAACACCGTCCCACGTTTCCGGGTGATCAGCGGTGACACATAACAAATGCAATGTGTCAGTGGTGATGCATAATAGATGCAACTTATACAGGTCCTTCTCAAAAAATTAGCATATTGTGATAAAGGTCATTATTTTCCATAATGTAATGATAAAAATGAAACTTTCATATATTTCAGATTCATTGCACACCAACTGAAATATTTCAGGTCTTTAATTGTTTTAATACTGATGATTATGGCATACAGCTCATGAAAACCCAAAATGCCTGTCCCAAAAAATTAGCATATCATGAAAAGGTTCTCTAAACAAGCTATTAACCTAACCATCTGAATCAACGACGCAACTCTAAACACCTGCAAAAGATACCTGAGGCTTTTAAAAACTCCCAGCCTTGTTCATTACTCAAAACCGCAATCATGGGTAAGACTGCCGACCTGACTGCTGTCCAGAAGGCCATCATTGACACCCTCAAGCAAGAGGGTAAGACACAGAAAGAAATTGCTGAACGAATAGGCTGTTCCCAGAGTGCTGTATCAAGGCACCTCAGTGGGAAGTCTGTGGGAAGGGAAAAGTGTGGCAGAAAACGCTGCACAACGAGAAGAGGTGACCAGACCCTGAGGAGGATTGTGGAGAAGGGCCGATTCCAGACCTTGGGGGACCTGCGGAAGCAGTGGACTGAGTCTGGAGTAGAAACATCCAGAGCCACCGTGCACAGGCGTGTGCAGGAAATGAGCTACAGGTGCCGCATTCCCCAGGTCAAGCCACTCTTGAACAAGAGACTGCGTCAGAAGCATCTCACCTGGGACTGCTGCTGAGTGGTCCAAAGTTATGTTCTCTGATTACAGTAAATTTTGCATTTCCTTTGGAAATCAAGGTGCCAGAGTCTGGAGGAAGAGAGGAGACACAGAATTCACATTGCTTGAGGTCCAGTGTCAAGTTTCCACAGTCACTGGGGTGTCATGTCAGCTGCTGGTGTTGGTCCACTGTGTTTTATCAAGGGCAGGGTCAATGCAGCTAGCTATCAGGAGATTTTGGAGCACTTCATGCTTCCATCTGCTGAAAACCTTTAAGGAGATGAAGATTTCATTTTTCAGCACGACCTGGCACCTGTTCACAGTGCCAAAACCACTGGTAAATGATTTACTGACCATGGTATTACTGTGCTCAATTGGCCTGCCAACTCTCCTGACCTGAACCCCATAGAGAACCTGCGGATATTGTGAAGAGAAAGTTGAGAGACGCAAGACCCAACACTCTGGATGAGCTTAAGGCCGCTATCGAAGCATCCTGGGCCTCCATAACACCTCAGCAGTGCCACAGGCTGATTGCCTCCATGCCACGCCGCATTGAAGCAGTCATTCATGCAAAAGGATTCCCGACCAAGTTTTGAGTGCATAACTGAACATGATTATTTGAAGGTTGGCGTTTTTTTGTATTAAAAACACTTGTCTTTCATTGGTGGGATGAAATATGCTAATTTTTTGGGACAGGCATTTTGGGTTTTCATGAGCTGTATGCCATAATCATCAGTATTAAAACAATTAAAGACCTGAAATATTTCAGTTGGTGTGCAATGAATCTGAAATATATGAAAGTTTCATTTTTATCATTACATTATGGAAAATAATGACCTTTACCACAATATGCTAATTTTTTGAGAAGGACCTGTATGGTGAAGCAACTTATTTATGTTTTTTCCACGTTATTAGACATATTTGGACTGATGCGACTTACATGGCGGAAAGTACGGTAAATGTTTTGTCTTTTATCCAAGACTGAAGAAGTCATTTGCATAAAAACAAAACTTTTCAATAAAGAACCCGTCCAGAGAATCTGACTCCACCTGGTTAGATGTCGTACTGATGAGTTTATAGACATCTTAAACAGACTGAAGGCTTTATTAACAGGAAGTGGATTAGTTCGTAAAATCATGTTCATGTTTCTGGGATCAAATCTGATCAAATGGATTCACTTTGCATCACTTCAGGGTTCATCTGTCAGCACAATGAAACTAAACAAACTGGAATAAACACATCACATGTTCTTTCAGATCATGATTTTTTACTGGACATCTTTCCATGACATTTTAAACAAAAAGCACTTTAATGTGCGGAGACCCCCTGCCGTGCTCGGAACGAGAGCGTGCATAATGTTTTACATCTCCAGACTCAGATTTGCAGATATTTTTATGTTCGTTTTTAGTTCAAGGCTTTTTTCCAGGCCAGACTTCCCTGCACTGCTAGCAATGCTACGACCGTTCTGAAACAAACTCATCCGCCGTTATAACGAGTTTTCGTTGTTAATCGCAGGGGCTTGAAGGGATGGTCCCAACCAGGTGTTCTTTGTAAAGCTTATGAATAATTAATATACTACCTGTTGAAGGTAGCTCTATGAACAGCCTCAGTTTAATGAAAAAAACAAGGGAGATTAATTCTGACGAGCTAATGACTAACCTGAGCAGGATCAAGACCAACGTGGATCACTGCTGTCCTAAAAGAGCTCTAGTGTAAAAGTAAAAATACTCGCCATCAGTTTTACATGATAAGGTTATTCCAGCAAAAATACATTTCTTCAGGAAGTGCTACAGCTAGCAGCAGCTGCTAATAACCACATACGTCCATGTAAATGTAAACATTAACGTAAAACTGACAGATGAGCTTCATGAAATTGGTATAAAAATATTGCTGAAATTAACCTTCAAAAGATTTGAACTATCATTTTTAATTACAGAGTTAAACATAGGCAGAAATCCTGGGGGGTTAGGACACACCCCAAAATTTGGAAAAACAGATGGTCTCTCCCCACCCCCACCCCAAATAATAATTTGAGAAAAGTCAGAAAATATTTTAATTTTTAAAAGCATAAGCACCATTTATAATGACAAAATTACGCATGTATGCTTCTCAAAAACTATTTGGCTCCATTATACCCCAATCATTTTGGGGGCGTGTCTTAAGACTGGAGGGGCGGAGCTATCATGAATAATCGGCTTCCAGTGAAATTGTGTTTATACAGAGTTCTCTGCAGTGTTTGATCCCAGGTAATAAAATCATGCTTCTTCTTCTTAAACCAAAACGTTTCTTCTTTTTATAGATGGCAACAAACACTCTATTTTGTTTGAAGGGCTCTAGGTCATGGTGTATTACAATGTGAGCTAAAACTATAACTTTTTTTTTTTTGTATTAACCATAAAAAGAGTTGTCTTCCTTAAGCAATTAAAATAAAAACAAATAGAGAATAAAGCCTGGAAACTTAAATGTTTTTTTTCACACTCTATTGTAATTTTTCCATTCAGACCTGAAAAATACTAAAAGCAAATTTCTCACATTTCCATAGCTTTCTATATGCCTTAAACTGCACAAGCAACAGCAAACACCAGGCCAAGTGTGCACACACGCGGCTTATTGTTAATGAATACACACGGTGATTACGCTGTTTGACTGTGAGGAACAACCCTGAAATTAGGACAGAAGTCAACAGGACTTTCCAGGAGTAATGGCGGAACCAAGACTCACTGATATTAAATGTCACAGCCTTTGCAAGTTTAGAGAGGAACCAGAGAGTCAAATAAGTTATTGGATTTTCCTTGGTGGCGTACTGGTGTTCTTTAATTTGAGTTTAAATGCTTCTTGGTGACTTTTCGAGCACAAAGCTGATCCTTAAACCTTTATTTATAACTTCTGTTCTTTTGCACAGATTCGAAGTGTAGGCTCAGACTTTAATGTGTAGCTTCTTTCAGTAAGACATAAAAAAACCTATAACTATGAACAAACACAAATCTGGGTGTATTCTTACAGAATAAACATGTAGATGCCCCTTTTACCTCTCTGTTTCAGCTATTAGAGGACTAAAAATATAAAAAGCAAAAAGAGAAAAGCTTTAAATATTAACTATAATTACATTAATTTGATATGAAGGTAAGTTTACTTCTAGTTTTAAGGAGATGAGAATTTTTGTGAATGATCCACCTTTGAGATGCTCTCCCTCAGACTCGGCGACCGCTGCCTGCGGGTGGTGGTGGTGGCCATGGTGGTGGTGGTCTCCATGATGGTGGTGGACATGTCAGACACAGCCAAAGGCGTGGCGGAGGTGGTGTCGGTGGTCGGCACAGACAGCGAGTCCCCCACCAGGCGCAGGTTCCCCTCCACCTGGATGCTGGGGTCGTTTTCTGCGGCCAGTTTGAGCACCTGAAGGCCGTTGTAGTACAGCCCTGAAATCTGACCCTGGAAGGGCCGACCCTTGTCATAACCGCCAATCTTAATGGCAGCCTGGCTGTTAAAGATGGTCAACTGTCTCCCTACGGTTACACAGACACGGAGAGAAAAGAAGACAAAGGAGTGGAGAGAACAGTAAAGTAGATATGGAGAAGTCGAACGGGAGCTTGTTTTCACTAGATCATCTAGATTAGACCAGTTTTAGCAATTTCAGTCATTAAAGTAGTTTTAGGTAGTTTTTAAAGATTTTTTTTAGATGACAACTTTACAAGAAAAACATTGACTAAAAGCAAGATTAGAAATCTGACTTGACACATGCTAATTGAACACTGACAGCCTATTTAGATGTCTTTTTATCACTAAACAAGTTAGAAATCTGTCTGTGGCTAACAAACGACAAATGTCTTCAGTATTCTTAGATTTAGAGTTAAGAGTTAAAAAAAACCAACATCTTGCTAGGTCTGTGTGAAGCCAAATGATGCACCAGCCACCACATCAGTTACACAGCATCACTGTCAGCAGCCACAGGATGAACTCAGAAAAATACTTTTAAACCAATGATTAACTCAGCTTTTTTACTAATTAGTGAATGATGCTAATAACTCGGCTTCTTAGCAAATAAATTAGCTACTAACAAGCAAATGTGCTAAGTTACTGGCTAAATGGCAAATGGCTAAGTTATAAAGCTGTTTGCTGGTTTGTAAAATAACTCAAGTGTTTGTTAATTAGCAAATAAACAGTGATGTAAAGCTTTTAGATTTTTACCAAAACAGCAAAAAGCATATTAACTATTTACCCATTAAAACGTTAGGTAACACTTACTAATAAGTAATTTACTAATTAGTGAAAAAGCTAATAAGCAAATAACAGCTTATAAGCAAAAAGCTCATTTACTAATTTGCAAAATAGCTAAGCTATTGTTAATTAATAATTAGCAAAGCTATACAGTATAGCTAATACTTATTTAGAGAAATAGTTACATTATTTGCTTGTTAATAGGGTAAACAAATACAATAAATAAGATAAACTGTACAGCTTTCTGCAATGTACTTTGCAAAATAGCAAATAGCTAGTTATAATCTCTAACAGCTAATAAGTTAATCATCTATAAGCTAGTAAATTGCAAAACATTATTTAATATCGTCATTTACTAATTAGTGAAAAGTTACGAAGCAAATAACAGCTTAAAAGCAAAAAGCTTATTCACTAATCAAAAAGCTGTTATTGCTAATTATCAGTAAGCTAAGCTAGATAGGTTTAAGCTATTTAGGGAAAGAGCGAAGTTGTTTGCTTGTTAGTAATGAAGTATGGTAAAAAATTATAAACTGTATAGCTTTCTGCTATGCATTTTGCAAAACAGCAAATAGTTTATTAACTATTTAGCCAAGAGTAAAACAGTGAATATGCTACAAGCTAATAAGTCAAATTGAAAATCATTTATTTACTAAAAGCTAAAGTGTGATCAGCCTATACACATCTTAGTGAGCTGGCTAAGTCTTAGTTTAGTTTTATTTTAAATAATAAGTAATGGCTGCAAACAGTGAAGTACTGTGTAAATGTAACCAGCAAAACATTCAGCGTGGAGCTCTGGTGCGACTGCAGAACAACAAGATAAAATTCAAGGACACAAGGAAGAGGAAGAATAATTTCCCCGTTCACATCACATCAAAATGTTAGGGTTTAAGAGGTTTAAATAGTTTGACAAAGACGTCATTAACAAGTTAGTTTAGAGTTATGGAAAAGGTTAGACAGCATTTTAATGGTTTTATGTTAAAATATTACACACAGTTTCTGTTTACACACAGTGGTTAGGGAGGGTAAATGGGGGTCAGACAAGGGTTATGAGCTTTTTAGTTTGAGTTTGAAATGTTAAAGGTGCAGCATCTTCACAAGGTGTAAGGACGACAAAATAAACAAACTATTGCTCCCCTTGTCTTAAGACTCAATTTGTTTTCAGGCTGAAGTGTTAAAATCCACGGCCAATCCAAGCTCCAATTCACTTGGAAAACACGTCCCAGGCTAGCTGGAGCCTCGTCACTCTTGTGTTCTGGCACTGCACCTCTTAAGGGGAAGGGTTATTTTCTAGTTATTTCAAGGTTTAATTAACTAATCAATTAATTTTTTACCTTTATCGAGTATCCACTCGTCAACTACCCGACCAAGTCTGTATGGGATTCTTTGCCTGGCAATAGCCAGTCGTTCATTATCATAGTGTCCTTCAAAGAATTTGGAGAGACAGATTAAAGGTTAAAGTCTGCAAGCTGAAAAATCACAAGGTTAAACACAAGGTTATGAGGGCTAACAGGGCTTACAAGTTAGCAACGTTCATCCAGCTGTGAGTTAAACACACTTGTGCTTTGCTTAAAGTTATCTAGTTATTACGAGTAACAGTTATGAGTTTAGGCTATTTATAATTTCCTACACTAGTTAGGGTTATTTAGCTTTTAAGTTAGGCAAAGTGCTATCTTCAGCAAATATCAAAAACAGAAAAAGAATTTTATGCAAACAGGTTAATTTCAGTAGACACAAAAAATAACATAGAAACTTAATTACTTGAGCAGAGACAATCAGGAAAACCATTATAAGCAGAACAAAGCAGAAACATACTGACCCCGAAATACATCATCCCACATGCACACATAGGTACATGGATATGACACACTCATAGACACACACAACATGCACAATTATACAAGTTAAAAATGTTATAAACGTCCAGATTACAGGTTCATTTTTAATGTTGCTCAAAGGCACTTAAAAAAATCTGCTGTCTGAACGAAGCTCGTTCTGTTGTCCTCAGAGGCGTGCGGTTCTCAAGCATTAGGTTTGTTAGTGTTAAACGAGCAGTATTCTGATGTCCCTGACCTCTCAGGGCTCTGGATAGTGAATGTTTGTAGTTTTGGAGATGAGTGTTTTTCTGGACTGGAAGTGAACAGGGAATGAGGTAAACCTAAATGTTTTTAGCGCAAAAGATATTCGAGTGGAGAGGAGTTACACTGAGAAGAACAGAGGGAAGATTGTTGTTGAGTGAGCAGAGCAGAGTGACAGATCCTGGAGAGCGGAGGGAGACATTTTATCCCCCACCAGGAGTAATGGAGGATCAGGGGGTGGCCTATGGTGGCCTTGGTCCTCCATAGATTAATCATCAGTCATGTCAATCATTTGAGGAAACTATAATTTTAAATACTATAAAAACTAGAATGCATAGTATCCTCAAATGATGGAGGTGGTTGATTTATACACAAGATCATGCTCACAACATGGTGGAGTAGCGGTTAGAAAAGGTGAGCCTGTGATCTGAAGGTTGCCGGTTCAACTCCCCGGACTGACAACAGCAAAATGTAGGGGGAGAAGGTGAAACACCCACATCTGCCTCCACCCTCATTTGCCCCACTCTGGACCCTTGAGCAAGGCCCCTAACCCCCACCATCTGCTCCCCCAGGCGCCCTAGATTGCAGCGCTCTGCTCCACACAGAGGGCTGTGGGAGCTCGGTGGTCTGTGGTTGTGTCAGGAAGGACATCCAGTGTAAAAATAATTGCCAAGTCTTCGTGCGAGTTAGTTCGTTGAAGAAGGGAGCAGCTGAAAGAAAAAAAAGATCATGCTCACAACATGCACAACTGGACAAGTTGACGGAGGATATTTCCAATTCCCCCTCTTCGCTCCATGACGTGCGATAAAAAATTAGAAAGTACAAACAAGCGTTCCAATTCCTTGATTTTAAAATAAAGAGTAAATTCACCAGAGACGTGATGATAGATTGCTATAAAACTAGTTTGGGCCTTTTTAAAACATTTTTTTGTTCATTTTAGCTGAGTAGTGTTTTAGTAACGGCCCTGACCCCCTAATGGACTCTGTCAGACTTCCTCTGAAGCAGCAGCCTCTGAAATCCGGATCCAAGAGGTGTCATGTTTGAGACGAGCCCACCAGCCTTCACTTGAATTTATATCTGGCAAGAAGGGGGGAAACAGTTCATTATTCATCATTTCTCACTGTCTAACCATGCACGGGGTTCTTGGATGGATCTGCTGCAGCACTGGCATGCAGAAAGATCTCAGCCTGCATGAATTCTGCAGATCTCTTCCCGTCTCAGTGCAGAGGAGAGGAGCTCTGGGTTTAGTGCTTCACTTTCAGCACATCTTCCCTCTGAAAGGGTCTAAACAGCTTAGCTTTAATGATCGCAGCCCTCCTTCATCTTTTCTGAGCCCTGATTTGAAGTGATGCCCTGAGTCCATTAGTGATCCTGGAGCAGATGCATCCATCTGCTCCATCAGGACCCGTCTCTTCACCGGGCCTCATGTCAAACTTTCAGCCTGGGAGTCGTACTCGGTGGTGGTCCATTTTAACCCTCTTAACTTGGACAATGTTTCACTTGACAACTCGTACATCCTGACATTTCTGTAGGAGGAACTTGTTTGTTTTTCATTGTGCTGCCTCTTTTGGGTTTGTTTTTTTGCATAAATTATTAAAAGTTGTCCAGTAAGAATATTCTAATCATCATCAAGTGTGACTGAACGCAGTGAGCGGTCCACTTTAATCGCTCTGGGGTTGATTAAAATGACCAGAAATAACGATGAGGTCGGAATTTTCACTTGCAAATAATTGTGCATGACGTGCCTCAGAGATATCCTCAGCATGGTGGCAGAAAAGTCTGATAAAGATGTAATTTTACTACAAAAACAAACAAGTAGATGCTGAGAGAATACACATTTCTGTTACGGGTTCAGCTTTCATTGCAACAATTAAAGAGACAAATCAAAACCCAAAACATGTTTCAGTTTGACAAAACGAACAGAACACTTGAGACAAGACTTCAGCTCTTAGTTTAAACACGTGCAAACACAAAACAATGATGAATAAAACAGACATCGCAAGAAATATGCAACAACTGGATGATTATTTTTGCATTCGAGCAGGAAAATTTGATGCTCAGTCCAGCACTAATTGAAAATATAATTAATTCTTGTTGACATTTTAGATTAAATTAGTTTATTTGAAACATGTCAGAAAAAAGAAGGAAAGAAAATTAACGTGATAAAATAAAGAGGAAAAACAACTTATTATTCTCTGTTAGCCGACTTGTTCTGTCTGTGAAAACGTCATTCTTGAGCAAAAATGAGTAAATCAGAGCTGTTTGAAGGCAGCCATGAATAAACGAACAGAAAGGGTTAAAGCAGGAGGAAACAGCCGGCGTGGCTCTGATTGAACTCAGTTCAGAGCTCATTTAGAAGATTTGTGAAGCGAGACGTCTCAAAACGCTCACTCCTGATTATTGGGTGTCAATTTTTTCGTCTTTTCAGAGTTTATGATATTCTCTCTCTTTGCAGCGACTCCAACTGAAATGTCTCCTCGGTGGTTTTTTAATTTACCTTTTGGAAATGTTAGAAAATGACTGATTACTGAGTGGGAGCTGAAAATAGAAGCACACACACGGCTGTATACATTATGCTGGACTGATTTATGTAAAACCGTGGGCTCAGTGTGTGTGTGTGTGTGTGAGTGTGTGTTGCAGCAGCTGCAGGATTCGGTTTCCTCCTGCTCCGCCAGCTCACACCTGCTCTGAATGATGTTAATTAGTTGATTGGTTTGGAGCAGGTTAAAGGACAGCCTGTTGTGTCGCCATTTTTTTTTAAACATCTTTTCACAGTTTGGGTACATTTTACATACATTTAGACGAGTAATTTTCCGTCCTGACGCATTTAATCCCATCTGACTGCCTTTTGTGGGTGTGCATTTATTGTAAACATTTAAAAATTAGTTTCATTCAAGTATTAAATGGAGCTACATTTAATAAGGTAATAGACAATTTATTCCTATCAAAACTCTGAATGTCAACAAGAATTTGTCCTCCCTCAGTTCAGACTGACTCTGAGCCAAGAGGTTGATAAAATGAGCACAGATGGACGTCATGAAGGTCTTATAATGTGCTTAAACCACACAAGAAAGTTATGCTGCTATGAAGATTTAATAAACAGGTTTTTGAATGACGGACGCATTCATTACAAGCATGTTTGCTGTAAATTTGTCCTACTTTTGTAAGTGGGTTGCCCCAGAGAGGGAACTCAAACAAGACATTTGACCTTCTTGACCCAACCTGGACTCGAACCTGCAGCCTAAGGATCACAAGGCCGCAGCACAGCCCACCGAGCTACCACAGCCCCCAAATAAATAATGTGTGAAACACGTGTGGGGGAGGGGCCAATCAGGTGAGTGATGAAGGTAAACAAATCAATATTGAAGACAAACATTTAAAACAGATCCTCAATAGCCTCTAAAGTCCCTCCATGCCGTTTCTCTACACTCAGCGTGAACAGGTGCTGGTTGTCGTTTGGGCTCACCTGGGGGGTACCGCTCTAGGACAGGATTGTTGTCCACCTGGAGGGTGGCGTTCCCGCCACTGCGTGTGAAGCGCACAACGTGGTACTTGCCATCGTTGACGACGAGAGCGGGCTCGTCGATGCTGATGTCGTCTGTTCCCACGTTGAAGATGACGCCGATCTTCCCTTGATCCTGCACAGAAAACAATACGGATAATAAATATAATTAAAATAAATATGAGACATCGAGCAAATTACAAACCAGTGGATGAGTTCTGGACATTAACCCTGGTGATTTAAAGAGAAGTTGATGGTTTAAACTCTGATTCTCACTGATCTTCACACAGGTGGAGGAGCCATATTGTTGTTAATAAACCCTTTATTGATGCCTAAATGTCACCTTCCTGAAATTAGTCAGTTAAATAACACATTTTTTAAATATTAATATCTTTTAAAAACACATGTCAATATCTTCATCTTTGTAACTTTTAATTTCAAGTTATCCTGACAGAAAAAACATTGACATTTGAACATTTTGTGTGATAAAACAAAGAAGAAGGCATTTGTGATTATTTTTTATTAGTGTTAATGAGAAACATTTTGCAGCACTTGTTGAACACGTCATGTCCAGAACTGAAAACTGATAAAAACTCTGACTGGAGACAAAGTTTGGTTTGTTGCTTCTAAACATTAAAACTTCATGTTTCCATCACTGAGGGATTTGAATAGTGAATGTTTGTAGCTTTGGAGATGAGTGTTTTTTGAACCGGAACTGAACAGAGAATGAAGTAAACCTAAATGTTTTTGGTGAAGATAGTGGAGAGAAGTTAAACTGTGAAGAACAGTTTTTCTTTTCCTGTCTGAGACAGAGCAGAGTGACAGATCTTGGAGGAAGAACATTTTATCCACCACAGGTGCAATGAAGGAGCCAAGGGGTGGTCAGTGGTGGCCTTGGCCCCCATAGATTAATCTTCAGCCATCCCAATCATTTGGGGAAACTATACTTTTAAGTAGAAAGTACAGTTTCATAAAATTCTAGTAGTGGTTGGTTTA